CCTGGAGCCAGCTGACAAAAACCAAAATGTGGTTTGCAGAGTTCCAGCTCCAGCATCACCAAAGAGAGCAATGGTGGATTTGGAACTGAGAGTCAGTAACCTGATAACTAGCACATTTTCTTTTCAACCTGTCTCCAGCCAGATGAATTTTTCCAAGAATGTCATTGTTCTGGGAGAACTTGAGTCTCCTAAAACAGTTTTTTTTTTTTGGTTTCAAAGATGGGGAGGAGCAGAAAGTGGTCTTCCTTTGTTCTGTATTGAACTGGATTGGAGAGGTTTGACAGCTAACCCATAGTGTCCAAGCTCAGTATGTCCCTAACCTACATTCTGCACAAAGATCCTAGGGAAAATGAATCCTTGCAATGAAAATTAGAGGAGAAAAAAGCGAGGCTTTCCTCCAAGGTTGACCTTTTATACTTTTCTTGCATCTCTTATAATTGTAAAATAGCTTTCATTTTAAGCTGATGTCATTTTCAATTTTGATATAGCACATTTGTCAAGAGCCTGAAGGGCTGCATATAGAGGCTACTAAGGTAGTAAGTGAATTAAACTGGCAAATATTGCCATTGAGGAGACGTATAAAGGAATAACTGAGATAATAAAGGTCAGAGCAATCCAACAAAACAATTTCAATCTAAAATACTGAAGGATGTATCTAAGGAAAAAAAAAAGAAATATGGATTAATACACAAGGATGAATTAGCAAGACAAAGGGGCTGTTTGGCATAAAATAGATAAATTAGGTAAATGTTTGTGATAGGAAAATGTAATCTGATCACTTGTGGGTTTATAGGATATAATGGTTCCTTTTGAGTGTTTTAGAAAGATCATTATGTATGCCTTATGATCCATAAGCTATCATTGTCTCCTGTTTATGAGTCCATTTTTCTATGAAATTTTTACTATGATTCTTTAAAAAATATATATACTCTAATTTTCCACCACCCTGATTCTTCCTTCTCCTCTTCCTCTTAATTCTCTTTGACCAAGATCTCATTCTCCAGAAATCTGTATTATCAGATGTTTGCTTGTTCCTAAAAAAAAATTCCCCCATTGGTCCTTAAATCTTTTCCCTATATTAAGTCATTATTTAATTAGGGAGACAGCTGTTAAATTGTGGAGACCTCCAGGACAGGAGTCAGCTCTTGGCTTTGCTGTATAACCCTTAAAAAGTCAGAATCTCTGGGTTCGTTTTCTCGTTCGTAAAATAAATAAATAAGACTTTGTAATTCCAAATATTGTTTGAATTTCTAACATTGTTCTATTCTGGAGCTTTGAGGGAGTTTTTTAGGATTAAGGACTACTGGACTAACAAATACTGCTCACCTGGAGGAAAAAAGCTTTTTAATTTAGGCAAACCCCATAGAGAAAAATAACCATTGTTTGGATAACAAGACTCTTCCAAAATGAGAAACTTTTGTGACTTTTAATATATAATGATCCCAAGTTCTAAGATTACAGTGAACTTTTTAATGTAGTACAGAAATTTAAAATAGATATGATGGTGATCTGTGGTTTTAAAGTGAAAATATAGGCATACTGAGGAAACGAGGTGGGAAGATCACTTAAGCCTCGGAGTTCAAGGCTGTAGTGAGCTATGATTATGCCAAAGTAAAAAGAGACAAAATGAATAAATCTAAGTTAATTTATTATAGGTTTAATCTATAATAATCTAATTATTAATCATTTAAATCAATAACCTTAATCTAATTATTATAGGTTTACTAATTGTGGAATCTCCAGAATCATAAGTCCTTTATAAGAGGAGATGGAGCCACAAGTAAATGTTTCCTTGGAGTAAAATCTGAGTGATAGGGAGAGGCCAAAAGTACAAGAAATATCTCTGCCTAAATCAGTTTAAGTCTGAGGTAATGGATAGAACATTGAAATGAAAGGCTGGGAAGCACTGTTTATTGTAGCAATTATGTTGCAACATTGGTCATTCTATTGATCTCTTGGATTGGTTTCATTATCTGGTGGGCCAGGTCAGTGTCTCCTGACTACTTCACCTCTCTCAGTGCATTATTTGGAAAGGGTAGTCTTCTATATAAAAGCAAGCCTTGTTTTCCATCAGGCTGCACTCTCTTGCTAGGACCTTAGCTCCTCTGCAAGGAGAGTAGGGTTAATATACTAGGTTGGTGGAAAAGTAATTGCGGTTTTTGCCATTTGAAAGCAAAAACTGCAGTTACTTTTGCACCAACATAATACTTTTATTTTTCCAAGAGAAATAGATATGTCTAATAAATTTTAGTGATTCACTGATTTATTAATTTATTCAACCATTCAATACACATTTAGTAAGCATCATGATAGACCAGGCAGTATGACAAGTGCTGGTGAAGTAGCTATAGACAAGCCAGATGTGCACCTGGCCTTGTGCAGCTTATAGTCTCTCTCATATTAGATTTATAATATCACTGGTTGTTCTGTCCATGTCCCTCCACTTCCCAACTCTCCAAAAGAGTAGATTTGAGCATATTTTTGTCGTTGAAGGCTTTTCTTTTTTTGGCAGAGTAAAAATTATGTAGTACAAACTTAGAAGAAAAAAATCACAGGATTTTACTGGCTCTAATGCACTTTTAATGATTGTTAAGATAAACCTCTGAAATTTTCTTCGGAAATTTCTTTGAGCAAAGCTTAGGAGTGTAGCAAAGCTTTAAGCAAAGCTTAGCAGCGTCCTTTTATGTAGCGTAGCAGTGTGTCACTTCCTCCTCTCACCCCCAATACCCTTGTTTTTTTTATAAAATTGTCTTGCGTTTAAGTCTCCTTTCTATCATTCTGTGTAAGATAGAGAGCTGGGATTATTAGAGACTACATAATTTTTCTGTACAACTCAAGGAAAAGGCCAGAGAGGAAGCACTTTTATTCATAATGTTACTGCAAATAATTATTAAAACAATATTCATTATTATATACCAAGCAGTGTGTCTTGAATTTCTAGTGAGGTACATATTCTTTCCCTCAGAATAATGCCTTCTTTATTGAGATCTGACAAAGTAATCTGAAAATTGTAAGGCCTTAAGTATACTGTTGACTCATTGTTCCTCTAGCCTGTTTTCATCTTCTCAATTAATACATTACAGGTCACTCTGAATCAAGCTCAAATTCTTTTCAAGGATTTAAAGCTATTTTTATAATTTAAGACATGTACAGCTTCTTTTCATTTTTATTGTTTGGCAGTGTTCTGTTATAAGCCTCCCAGAAATGTGAGCATATCATAATTTCAAAGTGGCCTCTTTCAGAACCTTGGCTGCTGCAGAAATTTGGCTTATGAATCATTTGAATGAATACTACTATTCATTCCTTAGCTGTCTGAAAAGAATTCTGTATCATAACCCAAGGATCAGGTGGAAATATATGTATTTTAAACATACCAAAATGTTTTATGCTCTAATTCTTTTTAAAATGTCACAAAGTTTAGAATCTAATACAGTGGATAAAAAAACCTCTATTTCAAAAATAGTTCTTATGATTAGATATTGTGATTATATTTTACAGTGTTACAGAAGCCTCTTGAGACATCAGTTCTCTTTTGTGCTTCAATGATGTGTTAGAGTGTGGCCATTTCTAAATGTCCCAAGACAAAACTTTACCTTGAAAAAGTCTTCTATTTCTATAGTTGAAATAGTTACAGGAAGGGGTTGGGCAGTCTCCTTTAGAAATCCCATACCAGAGTAGTATACCAGGATTTCTTCTCTCAGACTTTTGTAACAAATATACACTCTGGTAGATACTTGATTTTGAAACTGGGCCTCTAATCTTTAGTCACTCACTGAGTCAACGTTAGGACTCTTGAAGAAACACTTTGTGGCTGGGCACGGAGGCTCAAGCCTGTAATCCCAGCACTTTGGGAGGCCGAGGCGGGTGGATAACGAGGTCAAGAGATAGAGACCATCCTGGTCAACATGGTGAAACCCCGTCTCTACTAAAAATATAAAAAATTAGCTGGGCATGGTGGTGCGTGCCTGTAATCCCAGCTACTTAGGAGGCTGAGGCAGGAGAATTGCCTGAACCCAGGAGGCAGAGGTTGCGATGGGCCGAGATCGTGCCATTGCACTCCAGCCTGGGTAACAAGAGCGAAACTCCATCTCAAAAAAACAAACAAACAAACAAAAAATACTTTGTGTGTGTGTGTGTGTCATCATATTATGAGAATCTTAAAACATACAGAAGTAATATGAAAAGATGACCTTCCATGTCATTATATTCATCCGTTATCAATGTTTTGCTACTCTTGTTTCATCTGTTTCCCCATAGTTTTTGTGGTTGTTGTTGTTATGGTTTTTTAATCCCACATACTGCATTTTTTTAATCATAAACACTTTGGTGCATTTCTTACATTTTTAATGATAGGTAAAATTTGAAGCTAAAAATTGTTAAATCTACTTTATTTTTGTTTTGTGTCTGAAATTAACATGGTTCCCATTTTTGTTTCATGCTGAGAAGTTTAGTTTTCTTAGGTTCATTTTTGTTTCTTTTTGACTTCCTCCAAAATCCTGGTTTTATTATTGTCATAGCCAGCAGCATTTACTGGTTCCAGTATAAAGACAGAGCATGACAGCTACATAATTTGTATGTATAGATAAGCAAGTTTAAAACTTTGCTTTCATCCATCATTTTTATTTCCTGGTAGTCAGATCACTAGTGTAAGATTTTTATTGTAGGCATAAATCACCACTCTCCTAGTAGAGGCTGTATGAATTTACTAATAGGAATGAAGAGATATTTTGAGTATAGGTTAGTAAAAGGAAACTGGGTTATTGGGATAGATGTAGGCAAACATGATTTAGACTATCAGTTAAGAATTATTTTACTTGATAAGAGTCTCATGGCCGTTTATGCTCTAAAAGTAGGATAAGTTGGTTAGCTTTGAAAAATAAATAAATAAAAGAACATGGGAAAATCTTGATTGTTTCTTCTTTACTTTTATTGCTTCTATACTCAAACCAGCCATAGCAATTTCTCTTGAGACTCTGATTCAGTGACTAACATCTTTTCAGCGGAACTCCCACCTCCATATACAGCCATTGCCAGTCCAGATGCCAGTGGTATTCCAGTAATAAACTGCCGTGTGTGCCAATCACTAATCAATTTGGATGGCAAGCTTCACCAGCATGTGGTTAAGTGCACAGTTTGCAATGAAGCTACAGTAAGTGGAGATTTCCATTAATAAAAACATAAATTGTTATTTGACATTTTATTTCTAAAGGAAGTACTTCAATAATGTTACTTAAAAGTATATATGAGCTGGATACAAATATGGTGCTCCTTTTTTCTGTTTTTTTCTTCTGTCTCTCTTTCATCATAGGATACCTGCCTGTGTTTAAAGCTAACCCCATTAAGAAAATTTCATGGTGAATTTAAATATAATACCTTTTGGCTTTTTACTCTCAAAAACTAGACTGAGCTTGGCAGTTATGAATATATGACTTCAATATCTATCCACATCACAACTATATCCATTCTGGTTTTTACTAAAATGAAAATATTGTATACTAAACTTCACAGTTGTAAACTTTGTCCTATTTATGTGGAAAATTATTTAAAGTTATTTTATGTCTGTAAGATATCACTATTGTTTTTCTGGGCTTTGGTGATTATGAATTTGTTATTAGCATCTGTGCCAAGTGTTTACAAATGGTTTCACATTTTATTTAATTTAGTTGATAGTAATTTAGGAATGTTTAAAAGATTGAAGAACACCTTTCCTTTTTTTTTTTTTAATTGAGCTTTGGGGAACAACTACATTTTCAGCAATATTTTTATAGTTTTAAGTAATAAAATAGTAAAACATATACTGGTTTAGCTGAAATACAATTCTTTTGTAGTTAGGCTCTATATATTAAATTTTGATCTCTGAAAATCTGCAATTAAATATTAATTTTATCTTTGGTATTTTAATTTTTTTTCTCTTTAGAAAAGATTTTAAAAAGTCAGCCAGTGATTACTGTGTCTTGAAGAACTGCAAAATATGAGTACTTGACTTTATATGTTTTATGGAAAAATCATAAAATAAAATCTTGAGTCATGAAAGCAATACATTTCATTAGTTTTAATGGAATTGCTTCCTTTTTAAACACAAACTTTGACAATCTGTACTTTGGTTAATTGCTGTGTTTATGTTTTCTTCCCTTATCCAGCCAATCAAAAATCCTCCAGCAGGGAAGAAATATGTTAGATGCCCTTGTAATTGTCTTCTCATCTGTAAGGACACATCTCGACGAATAGGATGCCCAAGACCCAACTGGTAAGAAATAAAGATTAATTAATTAATTAGTTCATTCAACAAGTATATACCAAAGGTTCTTTATGTGCCAAGCTATATTCTAGAAAGAGTCGTTGTTTTCAAAGTCATTCATAATCTAGATTTTTTTTTGTTAAAGGAGTGAAAAGCTTAGTTTGAACTTAGTCATAGATATTTGTAGGATATAAAATTCTTAAATGAACAATGAATGTTTTCTTTGTGTTATATAAGTATTTAGTGCACTGTAATAAATCAGTGGCTCATTGAACTTATTGAAAAATAATGAGGCCAAGCCAGTGGCTCACACCTGTATTCTCAGCAGTTTGGAAGGATGGCTTGAAGCTGGTAGTTTAAGACCAACCTGAGAAACACAGTGAGACCCCGTCGCTACAAAAAATTAGCCAGGTGTGACAGCATGCACCTATATTCCCAGTTACTTGGGAAACTGAGGCAGGAGTATGATATGGGCTTAGGGATTAAAGCCTGCAATGAGCTATGATCATGACTCTGCACTCCAGCCTGGGCAACAGAGTGAGACCCCATCTATCTCTCTCTCTTTTTTTCTTTTTTGAGACAGAGTCTCAATGGGAAGAGTCTCAGAGAGTTGGCTCACTGTGACCTCTGCCTTCTGTACTCAAGCAAAACTCCTACTATGGCCTCTTCCTGAGTAGCTTGGACTACACGCACACACCACCACTCCCAGCTAAGTTTTGTACTATTTTGTAGAGAAAGGGTTTCACCATGTTGCCCGGGCTGTTCTTGAACTCTTGAGTTCAAGTGATCCCAAAGTGCTGGGATTACAGGCATGAGGCACCATGCCTGGCCCATCTCTGAAAAAAAAAAATCAGTTAGTTTACTTTTGATATAATTAATCTTCATTTGCAAGTATTTTGGTTGTTTTTATGTATCTCACTGTATGTTACACTAATTTCTGCTGAATGTATATGTGCAATAAATTCTGGAATTATTTGTCCATGCCCAGTACCATCATGGATGTACCCAGGTACAAGTATATAAAGGCCTTACTTGTGTTTTTTTTTTTTTCTGTGACCTCCCTGGCTTTTTGACCACTACATAAATCATGTATAGACCTTGCCAATGATAGACTAGAGAATACAAAGGAAAGGAGAATCTTGTTGCTTTCTTTTCATCTCTGATTAAATAGGCATCAAGGAATATCACACTGCTCAGAGAAATTTGGTTGTAACCCAGCACTTCGGTGCCTTCATGGCACACACGTTTTTGTTGATATAGAATATTTTTAACATAGTCTTCTACTAAAGTCAAGTTGGCTTCCTAGATAGGGAAGGGTAAGAATTGTTTTCTGATCTGAACTTATAAAAACTTAAAAATGGCAGTTAAATGGTTCCCACTGATTAGGACCAATGTTATAATATATTGTTTCTATCTTAAGTACAGAAAGACTCATATTTTGCTTTTGAAAAACTGACTATTGCTACTCTCTGCTGTTTTGCCTCCAGCTTGGCATTTAATTCACTTAATTTATAAAACAAGTAATGTATAATTCATATTTTTGGCCATATGTTGCAGGTTTTGCTCTCAGTCCATTTGTGGGATAGTGAAGTTGTTTCCTTTCTCTTTTCACAGTAGACGCATAATTAACCTTGGCCCAGTAATGCTTATTTCTGAAGAACAACCAGCCCAACCTGCACTGCCAATCCAACCAGAAGGCACAAGGGTCGTGTGTGGCCACTGTGGTAACACATTCCTGGTAAGTCACTGAACATTTGTCATTTATCTGTAAACATAGGTCATGATCTTACAGATTACTGCTCATAGTCTTAGGGTTTTGTCCAAATGCAAATTGATCGCAATGTAAAAATAGAGCCCTATTTAGGAAGACAGTCAGATGTGCAGCTAGGCTATACAGCATCTTTTGTGATTTAGATAAAAGGTACATCCTCTGATTGGTCCAGTTGCAAAAAGGATCCTGTCTATGTAGTCCAATGAGAAATTGTGCCCAGACTTAGTTCCTTGAGTTCCTTGGCTTGGTGAGCAGCTGGATCTTAGCCCTGCTCTCACCTGCACAGCAGAAGTCAAAGTGTACAATCTCATGCAGTAGATCTGCTTCATGGCTTCTAGATTCAAGAAAATTTGAATAATAATTTATCAAAAATTTTCTGATGTTTGAAAATTATTCTTGGACCAAAGGGAATTAACACTGTTACCCATAATTAGATAAAACCATTAAATAAAGAATAAGAAAGTATAAGTAATTCAATATGAGAAAAAGTTATAGAAGTTTTTGTTTTATTACTTCTAACTTAAACTTTGTTTGATTTTTTTAAAGTTAAATTCATAATCACTTATCCTGTTAGGAAGAATAAGGACAGGTTTTCTTTCTTTCTTTTTTTTTTTTTTGAGATATAGTCTCCCTCTGTTGCCCAGGCTGGAGTGCAGAGACAGGATCTCGGCTCCCTGCAACCTCCATCTCCCTGGTTCCAGCGATTCTCCTGCCTCAGCCTCCTGAGTAGCTGGGCATGCACCACCAAGCCCAGCTAATTTTTCAATTTTTAGTAGAGATGAGGTTTCACCATGTTGGCCAGGATGGTCTTGATCTCCAGGACAGGTTTTCTTTAATTGTTCAGCCCACATAGGAGACAAAAGATTTTCTTTAGAACTTGAATATGAAAAATACTTAACAGAGAATACACATGGGAGTCTATAAACAAAACCTCCTGTCACTAAGACAAGAATTAGCTTAAGGAAATTTAGTTTATTTGCTTTTTTTTAATTTGTAATTTTACTTTTATTAAAGAACTTTATGTACATAATTCTAAATGTCAAATGGGACTGCAATCTTCTCATCTAGCTGACCCCGTTACTGTTACCAAAATGCTTTCAACTCAGCTGCTTTACTGATAGTCACATCTATTATTTATTTATTTATTTATTGAGATGAAGTCCCGCTCTGTTGCCCAAGCCAGAGTACAGTGGTGCGATTTCAGCTCACTGCAACCTCCACCTCCTGGGTTTAAGAGATTCTTCTGCCACAGCCTCCTAAGGAGTAGCTGGGACTATAGGTGCAGGCTGCCACACCTGGATAATTTTGTATTTTTAGTAGAGATGGGGTTATGCAATGTTGGTCAGACTTCTATCTGTTTAAATTGCTTGCTTATCCTTGTTCTATTTGATTGAGCACTTTTAGGCATTACCCACTAACTTGTAAACTGCAAGATGAAAACTTAGCATTCTTACTGCCTTCCCACTCATTTTCCTTTCCTTGCTTTCATAATCACAGGCAAATTGCAACATTTTGTGTAATACTTAGTGTTTACAATTTTTATGATAAGGTAAGTTCCATTCACAGCTGAACCAAGCAATATGGTACATTTTCCTTCTGTATGGTATGGCTTTTAACATTTTCTTGGATTTATAAACAATTGCCCCGTCCTTTGGATTTAATTTTCTATGTATAAATCATTCATTCTTCTCATATTCTTATACAGAACTATAAAATGCCTATCATTATAATTAATGCAATAAGGAATCTATTATTTAGTCTTCTTGCTACACAATTGTCATCCTTCCCTTCACCATCATCATGAAAATTCCTTTTATCTCTTTCCTGTGTTAGATCCCATGCCATCCTCACAGTTCTTGGTTTATTCCTTCATTTTGGTGGAGCATGTCTACACTTTGCTTTCTGAGAAAACATGCAGGGAAATATATTTGAGCTACTTTTAAGCAGTTTTTAATCTGATCTTACATTCACTTTGTAATTTGTCTACATGTACAGTTCTAGGTTGCCAAAAATTTAAAGTATTTGTTCCACTGTTGATGAGAAGATCAACTGCTATTCTGATACCTGATCCTTTTGATATCATATATGTTTTCTTCTTTTTCTCTTTCGTCTTTCATCTTCTTCAGTGTTCTGAAATTTCAAGAGGATGTGTCTTAGTGAGGGTCTTTTTGAACTCATCATTTGGATATTCAGTGGGCCCTCTTATTGTCCATTACATTTTTTTGTTTTTAATTTTGGTTTCTTATATTACTTACTGCTTCTTCATTATATCTCCTAATCTTAATTTAAAATTTTAATTTCAGATCTATCTTAATTTTTAATTTCCCAGAGCCTTTGTTCTCTGATTTTTTTATAGCATTCCTTTTTCATGACATCTTTCTGAGGCTATTAATTATATTTTTTCTGAGATATTGTTCTTCTTCATGCTTTATCTCTGTTTTTTTTTTACTACTTTTTCTATTGTTTTTTTCTTTTGATAGAAGTTTTATGCAGACGTTTATCTATATTTGAGAGCAGGTCACTGATTCAAGTCTCTTTGCATGCAGGCAGGGGATAGATGAAAACTTTCTCCTCCTCATCCTCTCCCTCCTCCTCATCCTTCCATGCCTCCTTGTCCTCTTCCTCCTCCTCCTCTTCTTTTTTTGTAAAGCTGTCAGCTATAGTACCAATTGGTCTTTTTTTTTTTAGGGCAGATTTCTCTGGGGAAAGATCCTGTAATCTCTTGTAGGAGATACGTCTGAGAGACAGCCTTCTAGGAGATAAGAGAGGTAATAGGGGTGAAGCTCTTATCTACTTTTCAGACAATAGACTTTAATTGAATTCCTTTGTTTTTAGAGTAACTTTTTATTCTTGCTTTCTTCTCTGCCTGGTATTCCTGGTCCACAAGCTCTGTAGTCCAAATTTCTCTGCAGAATAAATTCTTCTTCTCTTAATATATTGGGGAAGGGTGGTTTTCTGGTTTTGTGAGAATTTGCAACCAATACTTCTGTTTTTCTCCCAGCTTTATTGGGGTATATTTGACAAGCAGAAATTGTATATTTGAAGTGTACAACCTAATGTTTTGATATATGTATATATTGTGAAATGATTACCACAATCAAGTTAATTAACATTTTGATTACCTCATATAGTTAGTGTGTGTGTGTGTGTGTGTGTGTGTGTGTGTGTGTCTTTGTGGTAAGAACACTAAATATCTACCTTCTTAGTAAATTTCAAGTACATAAAACAATGTTGTTAACTATAGTCACTATACTGTACATTGGATTATTCACCCTGCCTAACTGAGACTTTGTATTCTTCGACTAAAGTCTTCCCATTCCTCACCCACCTCAATGCCTGGCAACCACCATTCTACTCCTTGCTTCTATGAATTAAACAACTTTACATTCCACATATAGTCATGATCATGCAGTGCTTGTCTTCTTGTGTCAGGCTTATGTCACTTGGCATAATATCTTCCAGGTTAGTACATTAGCACATGTTGTTACAAATGGCAAAATTCCCCCCTCTTTTTTTTTTCTTTTTGAGATGGACTCTTGCTCTGTCTCCCAGGCTGGAGTGCAATGGCACAATCTCGACTCACTGCAACCTCTGCCTCCCAAGTTCAAGTGATTCTCCTGCCTCAGCCTCCTGAGTAGCTGGGACTACAGGTGCCTACCACCACACCCAGCTAATTTTTGTATTTTTTAATAGAGACAGGGTTTCGACACGTTGGCCAGGCTGGTCTCAAACTCCTGACCTTAGGTGATCCACTCGCGCTGGCCTCCCAAAAGTGCTGGGATTACAGGCATGAGCCACCACATCTGGCCAAAATTCCCTTCTTTTTAAGGCTGAATAATATTTAATTTTATGCATCTACCACAATTTCTTTATCCATTTATCTGTTTATGGAGATTTGGGTTGTTTCCATATCTTGGTTTTTATGAATAATTTTGCAGTGAACTTGGGAGTGTAATACTCCTGCTTTATCCTTACCCCAACCTCCACCTTTAGAAGTATAGGTCAGCAGCAGCTCACCTATGCTGGGTCTTTATACACTCTAGTCTGCCGTCACTGGCTTATCTCTCTATAGGTAGTCAAGTTTCAACAAGTCCATCTGCTTTCCATTGTCCAAAAATTTGAAGTTGTATTCTCTCTTTTTTTATCCTTATGGTATTATACATTTCAAAATTCATTTACTATTATTTTAGTCAGGTTTGGAAAAAATGGAAATGCATGCATTTATTCAATTTACTATATTTAGCCAGAATTACTAGGATTTTTCCAATCTAGGAAGACGAAGTAAGTCTTCTTTCTTACATTTATATTTTATTGATTAAATCAGTAACTAAGTATATAAATTAGAAAATATACTTGGTGGGGATATGTAGCAAGTTTCTTTTTAAAAAATCACTATAGGCTGGGCATGGTCACTCACGCCTGATATCCCAGTATCCCATGCCAGATACCCTGCTGGAGGCCAGGAGTTTGAGACTAGCCTGGGCAACACAGAAGAGACCCCACCTCCACAAAATACAATTAAAAAAATTAGCACCTATAGTTTGAGACTAGCCTGGGAAACACAAGACTCCACCTCCACACAAAAATATTAAAAAATTAGCACCTATAGTCCTAGCTACTCAGGAGATTGAAGTGGGAGGATTATCTGAGGTCAGGAATTTGGAGGTTACATAGAACTATGCTCATACCACTGCATTCCAGCCTGGGTGATAGAGGGCAACCCTGTCTCTAAAATAAATAAATAAAAATCAGTACATATTGATTTAATATAAGCTAACACACTCTAGTTACCAATAGAAATATTAAATGAATTAACGAAATTAAATTTATAAAGCATATTTGTTATTTTCTTTTTCATATGTGAACAGATTTTTTTAAAGTAATGCAATTTTAAAATCTTCTATATACATTTGTTTCAACCTACTTCCAGAGATCTCCCTTCCACAGCTACCTTGAATTCTTTCCTCTTATGTTTTATATTCCAAATACTTGCCACGGATAATCCTTGTAGCGATATTACAAATAAAATCATTTTATCTATTCAATAATATATATTGAGTATGTACCAGGTACTAAGCTAGGTGCTGGGAAACAGTGGTAAACAGGAAGCACAGTCTCTGTCTTCATGAAATTTTCTAACCTAATAGTAGAGAAATGGATAGCAAATGGACTAGCCTGAAAAAGCACAAGGGTACAATTTTGGCTTTTATTTTTCAGCAAAGTCATGACGATGGTCAAGAATAGCATAGAGTTTAGGAGAGAATTGACTGTATGAATAAGGTAGAAAAGGGAATGAGGAAAAAAGAGCAATGAAAAAGACAATTGTTATAAAGGTTTATATTTAATTTTTAGAATCATCTGGCAATGAATTCTAGAGAATGATCTAAATTGAGAGTTTAGATAAATATGTATGTGCCATGGTTTTTATTATTTAAAAAAATAATTTATACATTTAGTTATTTTTCCCCCAAAAGAAAATTACTAAAGTAATGTGCAAGCCAGAGGCCAACTTGTAAAGTTGGCTCTTCCAGAGACTAACGTCTAAAGCTGGCTCTTCCTTACTTAATTTTCAGTGCAGGCAAGTGAATCATATTATCATATTAGCACAGTAATTATGATTTAAAACTTTAATCCTTTAGCAAGAAAATATGTTTTAGATTAAAATACAGAATTTAATGATGATTTCTTCATAACATGTTATTTGCCCTTCAAACTGTTAATTACTAGGTTAATTCATTTCCTTGTTTCCTACTTTGTTTTAGCCTTGGCTTGCAAGGCTCAAAGCAATTGAGATAAGTTACAAAGATGCATTAAGTTCAATAGGCTTGAAAATCAAATGTGAAACAATGGGGCAGAAAAAAATAACCTGAAGTCATACACATGAATATAAGTATGCTAATATTTAGTCTAATACAGTTGATAAAATTAGTCTGAATCTTAGCTCTGAGTTTTCCAGAGTCAAAGAAAAGAGGAAAATATGATCTGTGACAAAACATTCAAGATATTTTATTGAAAAGATCACATAGGAAATACTTTTCCTGAAATAATGAGCTCTCTCTCGAGGAAGAATTCTCCCAAGGATTAAAATAAAAGAACTATTGTACGTGACAAGGCTTTTATTATATATAAAAAGAAAACTTGTACTTAAAAATAATTTAATTTTGATATTTTAACCCCAGAAAAAAAATGCTAAAGTAGGCCAGGCGTGGTGCCTCACACCTGTAATCCCAGCACTTTGGGAGGCTGAGGCGGGTAAATCACAAGGTCAAGCTAGAGACTAAGTTCTCTATATTCTCACAGCATCCTTTTGTTTATAATAACATCTTTTAATATACCAATGTTATAATGCTAAAGTTAAATTTTCTAGGAATTCACAATATTTACACTATTCATTTCACAGCCTAGCTGGGACTATGGATGAATTTAGAAAAGCTAGATTTGCATTTTCCAAGATGTATTCAATGAATGTGCATTCATTTTATAGGTTAATAATAGGTGATTGTGAGTAAAGAGTTCCATGTTCATTGGGAATTGCTAAAATTAAAAAAATTAAACAGAATTTATAATAGGATATTATTTAACAATTTTAGCATATACCATTGTGTATATTTAAGATGGAGTTTTTATATTGTATGTCCAAACATTTTTTACCCTCCAAACCATTTTAAGATCCTCTAGCCTAAGTAGTGATTTGAAGGGCATTGTTTAAAAAATAATTTCCCAGAAAAATGAAATGACTATAAATCCTGTAGCTAGTTCTCCATAAATGTAAAGCAATTTCTTAACACAACTGAATAGCAGAGTTTACTATTACATTTCTGAAGGGCCCATGGTGTCTGTTGATAAAAGGCATAACCAGATACTTTGTCAATCAACACTGACTGAGGGCTGTTGTTGTTTAATAAAAGCCAGCACAACTTGGTTCAAACTTTGTCCTCAAGTGGGCCAATTTAGTAACTTCAGGCAGGGTCAGATTTTTTTTTTTCATTTGTATACAAGGACAAATGGGTGCCATAGCAGAGAGGGACAATAGTTTTAACTTGAACATAGTTCAAAGTGTTACCAGTTGCCTATACCTATCTATCTACATATTTCAGTAAGGTACTATATTAGTTTTAGGAAATACAGTTTTGTTTTTACAAGTCTTCTAAGATTAGTTGCAAAATATATCTTGGGGAAACTTAATTTATCTGTTACATGTTATAGAATAGTTAGAAATAAGTCAAATATTACAAGATCTTTACTAAAAATGATTGGAGTTTAGAGAAGTTGCTTTTACTCTTTCTGATAGAAATAAGGGATTTTATTTTATTTTTGTCTAATGAGACTTTAAGGTCTGGCAATAAAATTTTAAGAATCCAGAAGCCAGATTTTAGATGAGGAAACAGTACCAACTCAACTTATTTTCCGAAGAATAGGTATTGGTATTCATTTGAATAGATTCTAAGAAACTTACTCTAAAAATAGATGCTTTTATTTCTCAGTTTGCTCCATTTAAGTGAATACTTGCAGATAACAACAACAACAAAAAAAAAACAGAAATGGTAGATTGCTGCTGGCAATGTAATATATTAACTACAGAAAAAAGTCTCCACTGTTTGTTAGTTATTGATTTATCATGCATAATTTGTGCTAAAATGAAGAACATTGGACTATAAATGATAACATTGGACTAAACAATCTCCTTAGGGTTCATCTAAAATACTGGAATTCCTATGTCAGTCTGTTAGTCTTAAGTCTTGGATTTTGAGTTACTCTTGACTCAAAGGTTTCATACTTGCCTTCTCAAACCAGTTTGCTCTTTTAACTATGAAAAACTTAAATTTGTTATTTATAAATAACATTTGAAATGACATTAAAAGTTCAGTAACTATCCTAAGCCTATTACAGAAACATAAAACTACTTCATAATAGTTCTATATTCTTCCACTGCTTAATGTTCTGTACCAATTTCTGTAGAACTCTATATTAATATCTGCCTTAGCACATTAAGAATTTTTACTTTAAGAGTAATTTAAAAATAAATCAACTTGTTACAATAAGTAATTTTCTCATTATAAGTAAGGAAAGAAATATTTGCTCTTGTTTGAAAAATAAGTGCCCTTGGTTTGACATTTGCAGCTGTTAAAAAAATAATCATTTTGTAAAGAGAATGAACATTCATGTGAAGTTTTCTTTCTTTTTTATTTGTTATTTATCTTGGGACTCTATGTTCCTGTTGTGACTGAGAGATCATAACAAGGTTAACTAAATTTCATGAGATTTGAAATAAACATGAAGAGAAAGGAGTCCATGAAATTTAAATTCATATGTTCTTTTCTGATATCTAATCATAAAAGAAAAAAATATGCATCAGATATTTTCTAAAAGCTATCTTCTATTGTGTGGAAAACATTCGAATATGCACAAGTTATTGAAACCCTACTGTAACTAGAATTTGAGCTTTCTGAAGAGAAAAATTAGTGGCCTGGATTCCCAAACGAAACAATTTTAATAAAAACAAGTAGTTTTGATGACAAACTGCCAAAGTACTTAAATAAATGTCCCCAAATCTATCAAGGAAATACACTCTTTATAAGGAGGTATATAGAAAAGCAAACAAGATAGAAGAAGATTGCTACAGAGTCAACAAAATATATTTCATGGAATAAAGGTTTACTTTATTCTTTCATATTCTTTCAAATTGCATATTCTTTCAAAGACTATCTACGACCAGTAAGTCATTTCAGCTATCTGAATAACACTCTTATGAGAAAGGTGGCACATTTATTACTTACATTTACAGGGAAGAAAACTGTACTAAACAGTGTGTTTTTGTTATATTGTATAAGCAATGACAAGAAACAGTTCCTGACTTCAGTTCTACCTATATCTAATTTGTTTAGTTTACATACTTGGTGGCTTTCTTGCATAAAATAAATAGTTTAATTTTAGTAATGAATCTAAATATTCAGGTATTTAAAAGGCCAGCCCTCAATACTTAAAGGAAAAATAACTTTGATGGTATATGAAATATGTTTTTATTCCCTGTTAGTGAACTGAGACTTACTCAACAAGATGACCCCAATTACGGTATTACATTCAGTATTCATGTAGAGCAAACCTAGATTGCGTCAAAGCATTGGAAAAGTCATGGGAACTGTTTCAGAGGAAGATTCCAAACTATATTTTAAGAGAGGGAGAGAAGTGTTGAAGGGAAAAGCTCATGTACCATGAGAAGGTGATTGCTTCTGTTGTGATCTCTGATGACATTTTAAGGAAAAGAAATGTCTTATCAGATTGGATAGTTTTCAGTTGTTTTCTTTTCAATTCCTCTCTTTATTTATTTTACAGTGGATGGAACTGAGGTTCAACACTCTGGCAAAATGCCCACACTGCAAAAAAATGTAAGTTCCCTACCATTGGAAATACTAATGAGAAGTACTTGAGAAAAATTTGAAGAGTTCAGAATTTTCACTTAAGTAGATTCTGATTTTAAGACATGCTGTGAAGTGAATGCATTCCAATATATTTATGCTTTGTAAGACTAAAAAGAAGATATCCTAAAACAAATATATCCCATTATGAAATTAAAAGGATTAGGCTTAAGTATCATTCTCCAAAGGGAAATCAATTTCTAGTATAAAAAAGTAAAATTGCTAAGATTATCAGTAACCTGGTTAAGAGATTATAATCTATTGCAAATAATCTAAAATTTACATTTATAAAATGGGCTACAATCTGGGAGAAAATTAAAATTGTTCTGGCCTTTTTCATCTCCTGCCTAATAATATTATTACTAATGGCAACATTTATATAACTGTCTATCTTAACTATTTAGCCTATTTTTCTCTATTCCTAAATGATGTACCTAATGAAAGTAACATAAGACAATATAAAATGGAAAATAATAGAAGATATTTTGAATAAAGACATTTTATGGCATCTGTGTTGGGGGTCCCAAGACTACACCAAGGTTCCTTTATTTTCTACGGGGACTCATAGAAATTAATATATAGTTGTACTCACAGATGTAATTTATTATAGCAAAAGTATGCAAAGCAGAATCAGCAAAGGGAAAAAGCACATGGAGCAAAGTCTGGAAGAAACTAGGGACAAGATTCCAAGGGGCCCCTCCAAGTGAAGTACCCCAGCAGTAAATTATTACCACAAATGTACCATGTTGTCTACCAGGAGGTTCATTAGAAACTCAGTGCCCAAGGTTTCTACTGGAGCTGGTTACATAGACACTTACTACCTAGCACACATCAAAATTCCAAATTCCTGTTTGAATGGAATTTGTGTTTAGCATAAACCATAGTGTTTACACAAATAATTTATACATAATAAGCCACTTTTACCAGTTATAGAATGATGGGAATTCTCCCCAAATCTAAATTTCTAGTTGCCAGCTAAGGGCCAACCTTGCAAGCAGGGCTTTGTAAGGATAGAAGTCTCAGGCCTGCTGTGTTAACTCTTTTCTGCACAGCATCTATTTTGATAATAAAATTATAATTTAAAAATTATTGTTATCCTCATACATATGTATTATAAATTAAGCAAAGTAAGTTCAACTGGAATTCTTAGATGATTCAATTTTTATTATTGAAAATAAAAGGTTAGAAATAATATTTATATTTTAATTTGTGTGATCCTTAGTATGATATAAATACCTTATCTACATTGAGAGTTGAAAAATCCCATGAATGGTTTGTGGAGAAAATAATTGAAAAGTAGAATATATATAACAAAATATCTCTATCTCTGCTAGATCTGACCTTAACTAAATATAGCTCTGTAAGAAAAACTTCTTTACAGACAATTCTCAAAAGACAGTTTCTTTTTTATTTGTGAAATTAATCATACTAATTCTTTACTGAATCCAGTAGAAGTCTGTACATGGAGAAGCAATGTGGATAAACCCTAAAAAGTGCACAAAATAATATACACATACTTGAGGGACCACCCACACTCCCCCCCTCCAAAATATGTGAATATACACATGGATGATATATATTTCTGGGTATTATCTGAATTTTCACAAAAATGTACAAAATTAAATTGCAAATATATTCACCAAGAACATTAAAATGGAAAAAAAAAAGATCTTACAGAAAAAAAAGGCAGAGATTACTTCTTTTTTTTTTTGAGACAGAGTCTTGCTCTGTTGCCTAGGCTACAGTGAAGTGGTACGATCTCAGTTCACTGCAACCTCTGTCTCCCAGGTTCAAGCAATTCTCCTGCATCAGCCTCCTGAGTAGCTGGGACTACAGGCATATGCCACCATGCCCGACTAATTTTTCATTTTTAGTAGAGGTGTGGTTTCACCATGTTGGCCAGGCTGATCTCAAACTCCTGACCTCAGGTGATCTACCCACCTTGGCCTCCCAAAGTGCTGGGATTACAGGCATGAGCTACCCAGCCTGGCCTGGCAGATACCTCTTGTGGTTAACAGACTATGTGCTAATCAGTGTGATAGTTTATATATACATATATACTAGCTATAATCTTTACAGCAGTCATATAATACATGGATTATTATAATTTTAAAAATCAGAAACTGTTAAGAGAGGTGAAGGATTTTGCTCAAGGGAATTGGCTGGTTAATTATTTTCCTATAATGGCAATATTTTTACTATGAATAAAGAAGTATTGAATGTCTGGATACTACGTGATTTGTTAAAATATCACAAGACAGTATATTAATATGAAGAAGAATTTGTATCAACTACTTAGGGAACAACTGGCATAGACATTCACATGGAATACATAGGTTTAAACATTATTCTAAGAGGAAGGTTTGTAGAATTGGAGTCACATGCTAAACATGGGAGGACCTGGAGCATTCATTACTTATGTGAATGTCAATACTGTTATCATGTGAACTCTCCTAGCTGGTATCTGGATTTCTTTGCTTTTTGAATGTTTTCCTTCATAACAAAATGATGGGTGATCTTTTGGACTAAGATTATGAGACAGCTTTATTTCTTTAAACACGAATATACTAACACTAGTTTTAAGTTACAGAAGTTGCTAAATTTATTACTATGAAACAAGTGTGTTATGTGCTTACCTCACAAAATGTGTGGTACCACTCCAAAGACTAAGGGGCATTTTCTCATCTTGCTGTTTCTTACTCATATGGTAGCTGGTACTATGATAGCTAAAGGTGATGTCATTCTTTTAATTGGGTGGCTTGTGGCCACTGCCAGACTGAAGGTGTACTTGTAGCATTCTGAAATACAGTTCAGGCTATGTTTCTGTGCAAATGTTATAGTGGACTTATGACTAGTAGAGACATTGACTTAATCCATGACAATTGTCACTGAATATCATTTATTTTACATCATTGATGTAATCCTTTGTGAATCACTTCCTGCCATTTTAAACAATAGTGGAAGTACTCTCAAGTGTTGTTATCCTTTTATTTTGCCATTTAGTGCTACATTTTATAATTATTCATTAATTCAACAAACAATTCTGTGCTAAGTACTTGTTGCTTGAAATAAAAGACATAATCTTGCCTTCAAAGAATTTAGTCTTGTGGGCATAGTAGGGAGAATAATTAATTACTATAAAGTTTTAAGTGCTTTGAAAGAGGTATGACCAAAAGGCTTTACTTTGAAGAGTCCCTAATCCAGATTAGAGGGAAAGGGATTATGAGTGAAGGTTTTCAGGAGGGAGTGATATATGAACTAGGTTATAAAGGATGAGTGAGAATTGTGTGAAAAAGAGGGTGGGATAATACACTATAGAAGGAGCTAGCTGTGCAAAGGTACAAAGAAGTCAGAGTATAGATGTATTAGTAAAAAAAAAATGGAATAGGTAGGACTGAATATAAAGGGATGAGAGAGAGATATTGGGGTCAAGAATGACTATTACTGAGAGGCTGTAGAACCATTCACTGAGACAGGAAATGCAGGATTTAGAAGAAATGTGTCTGGCAGAAAATGATACATTCATTTTGAATGTATTAGATAGGGAATCCTTGGTTTGCTAGATTGGTTAATCATCATTCCATCTATCTGTTTTTCAAATCAGCAATCTTGGATCAATATAGCCATTGCTTCTCCCTTTCTTACCAAGATAACTGAGAGTTGAAAAAATTCTGTGTTGATCAGCTCTTTACACACATATAGCTTTATACTTTATCTAAAATGCTCTATATTCCAAAGTGTTCTTGATTCTCTCTCCATTTCCCAAAACAGCTATCTCCAGATATTTACTATTCCTTCTAAATCCCCACCTCAGTACCCCCAGCTCTCCAAGTCTCATCCAATGAATTGCCTCCTATCTCTCTGAAATAACTGAAGCTATCTGTGGATTCTCTCATTTTTGTAGTTCATACTTGTAAACCTGTCTTTATCCATGCTCACTTCATTTTCTCTTCTTAGAGGGATTCAGGTCTCTTCTTTCCAAGGCTTATGCCTTCATATAATTATGGCACCCTATTCTCTCTGGACAATTAGTCATCAGTCCCCAGTAGGACACTGAATTTGCTGTAATGAAATACACTTCCCAATCATAAATTCCAATATTTTGGTTCTCATCCTGCTTGTTTTCTTTGTAGCATTTCATTCTATTGATCATCCTAGGTGCGCTGATAATTTTAGGTGTCAACTTGACTGGATTAAGGAATATCCAAAGAAATGGTGAAGCATTACTTCTGCATATGTCTGTAAGGGTATTTCTAGAGGAGACAGGGGTGTGTACTGAGTGGAGAAGATCTGCCCTCCAATTGGCTGGGGGCCCAATAGAAAAAAAAAGGCATTGTCCAAGTTCACTCGTCTGGAACTTGGACACTCTTTTCCTGCCCTTGAACATCAGAACTCCAGGCTCTCTGGCCTTTGGACTCTAGCACTAACACCAGTAGTCCCTCAGCTTCTCAGGCCTCATCCTCAGAGTAAGAATTACACAGTTGGATTCCCTGATTCTGAGGCTTTTGGACTTGTACTGAGCCACACTACCAGCATTCCAGGGTCTCCAGCTTACAGATGCCCTGTTGCAAGACTTCTCAGCCTCGTTAATCGCATTAGCCAATTTCCTTAATAAATTGCCTCTTACTATCTAATCTATCTATCTATCTATCTATCTGTCTGTCTGTCTGTCTGTCTGTCTGTCTGTCTGTCTGTCTGTCTGTCTATCCATCCATCCGTCCCTCTGTCTCTCTGTCTGTCTGTCTATTTATATACCTATCTATCTGTCAACTATCTCCTACTGGTTCTGTCTTTCTGGAGAACCCTGACTTATACAGTGATTTCTTTTCCTTAAAGTTTGTTTTCTTGGTTTCCAGACACTGGTTTTTCCTGGGTTTCTCCCACTTCTCACAGCTCTCCTTTGTTGGCTTCATTTCCTCTTCCAAGTTGTTAAATTTTGCTATTTTCCAAAGTTGGAACTTGACCATACT